CTCAAGTACCGTAGGTGGCTTGATGTTGCCTCGGGACTTCCAGCATGGGAAGCTTGTGCCTCTCAGCTGGCTAGAGTCTACCTCTAGCCACAGCAGCAGCTCATTTCCACCTTCCTTATCACCTGCTTGGCACACTGCCAGGAGTTTCCCACCCTCACCTGCTAGGGATGCCCCCAGTTGAACTGTTCTTATTCACCTATTCTCCCAGTTCCGGAGTAGTCCATAAAGGACCTAATTTCTGGCTCACTCCTACCCCTACCCAACGTACTTCTCATGTTGGCCCTGCCCACTGGGATGGTGGGCAGGAGCTGAGACTCACAGGGCTGGGTAGGACACAGGCAGACCGGGTCAGGAATGGCTCAGACCCCCCACTCCCTCCCTAGCGTGGGAGCATCGTCCCAGCCCCAACAGGCAGACAAAGCCTCACCCAGTCTGGGGGAGGGGTGGGAAGAGACTCTGAGGCCCAGGCCGCCCTGCCCCCCATTCAAGTGCTAATGAGCTCCAGCCGAAGAGGGCTGGAGATGGGGGGGGAGAATGTCGCCAGCCTGGGTTCCACTCCACCAGGCACCAAGAGTTCTGCCACACCCTCATCCCTAGGCCCCCAGAGGTTAAATCTGAGGGCCCTGGAATAGTCTGTCACTCTACCTGACACCAATGCTGCACACCTTGGCCTCCCCAACTTGCTGTGAGCAGCTGCCTAAGGACAGGAGAAGGAATTCCCCAGAACCTCCTTACTGCAGCCAGGCAATCTGTAGGATGGAGAGACCCCTTCCCACCACACCCTCAGCTCCTCAGGAATCAGCAAAAGCTCCCCCCTCCCCACCGCCTCACCTATTTCACACACCTCAGGCTTTGAGGCACTGTCCCCACAATGCCTGTGACTGCAGACAGGCACTCCAGACCCCAGATTATGGGTGGAGGGCAGGACTCCAGCCAGGGCTTCACATAAAGCAGGTTTCTTAGCCAGTGCACTAAGTAAAGCCAGGATTCTAACTTAGGTCTGTGACCCCAAGGTACAGAAAGGGTAGGCCAGGAAATATCCACCAAGGTCTTGGTACTCTAGGCCAGAACTCCTGCCTCAGAAGGTTTGCTGAGTTAGTCCTTCTGACCCCAGTGCCTTGCCCTGGTGAATGGTGCTACCTTTTCAAGGCTGCCCAGAAAACCCTACTTCCAGGAAGCCCCCTATTCACAGTCATCTCTAGAGTCTCCCCATTGTCCAGCCAGCCAGGATCCCAGGCTACCCCTCCCATGTATCTTGCAGCTAGGCCAGGCTCAAGGATATTATTTCTCCCCAGGGGTGATGTCCTGTTCAACAGCTTCATGGGTCCCACACACATTTAATATAAGGATCTATAGTATGCCAGCCCTGTGCTAGAGACACAAACAAGACAAAGGCCACAAAACTCCCTCTTTTTTCTTTGGTTAGCTTACTTGAGTCCTTGCTTTGAGCAGTCTCTGCACCAACAGGCCCAGAGCTCCTCCAGCATTGATAAGGTCTGACCCTTATGGCCCTCAGATGGTATCGGATCATCTATTGGACTGTCAAGAGACAGCAGCCCAGTAGTAGACCCAAAACAGCTGAAGTAGAAGGAAGAATGCAAAGCCACCATCCCACACAAACAGTTGGAGTCCCTACTATATGCTGTGCCCTGAGACAGGATACAGGCTGGGCAGCAAGAATTCTGTGCAGAATGGGGTAAAGACTGTCTTTGAGGCACCCATATAACCTGTGATGGGACCAGAAAGAAACAGCCTAAAGAACTTTTCTCTCCGTGTCCCCCAGTCCTGGTCATTGGCCCTACAATAAGCCCTCGACACCTGCCCACAGTATGCCAAACTGTGGCTCAGTAACCTCCACCTACTTATCCCCAAAACCAAGTTCAGTAGATCTAACCTTCATTCAACAGTTGAGAAGTACCCAATAGGCACCAGACTCTGTGCTGGGCACAGGGAAGAAAAGGATACGATGCTGCCCTGCAGTCCTATGGGAGAGCAGCCAGGCCAATACCCAGCTCTGATGGGGGAAGCAGAAGCACTGGGAGCCAGAGGAGATGCTTCACCAGCCTCCGTGGAGCTCAAGAAAGGATCCTGGGAGAAGATCTGAGTTGAGTATTAACAATCAAGCCAGGCATAGGTGGCCTGTAATCCTAGCTATTCAGGAGGCAGCGATCAGGAGGATCGCTGTTCAAAGCCAGCCCGGGCAAATAGTTTGTGAGACCCTATCTTGAAAAAACCCTTCACAAAAAAGGGCAGGTGGAGTGGTTCAAGGTGTAGGCTTTGAGTTCAAGATCAAATAGAAAAGAGATTCAAAGTCCCAAGGGCAAGTCAGAACTGCAGTATCTATACTCTGCAGTCTTCATGGAGCCCAATGGGCACATTTCTCCTTTCTCTGTGACATTGTCCACCAGGGTCCCAAACTCCACCTGGGCATAGCTGGTTGGTTAGGTTGAACTGTGTAGGGGTGGGGTGTACCCCTGGAGTCAGCTCCTCTGCTCCTCCCACCAAGCTGCCAGGAAAACTACCACATCTGCCTCTGCCCTGGTGACAGTGACTGTGCCTGCTTGCTGGCGGGGCTCCACGGAGAGAGGAAGGGAGCCAGTATGCAGGCGGGGCAGCAGGCGTGGTTCTGGCTGAGAGACAAGGTTGGCTCTTGCCCAGACTGAGTCCCGTTGCCTGGACAGAGTCTCCCGCTACGCAGGACAGGCACCCAAGAACTCTGAACCTGCTACAGCTGGGCTCCCATTGCCACCTTACTCCTAGATGAGGAAAGGACAGCTCATGACAGAACCCCTTCCCAGGCAGTCATGACAGATTGGTTCTGCAAATTGGGTCCTCAATTTCAGGCACAGCTTAGTCTCTCAGCCCCTAGCAACACACCCTCTGAAGGGTCTTAGCCCCACCCCACACTCTCCCAAGTAGAACCTTCAGAAGGTTCCTGTTTGCCCCATCCTGAACCCATTTCACAGAGAAAGCAAAAGCCAGAGGGGGCAGATGCTGGAATGGACTCAGATCCTATACCCCTGCCTGCTGCCAGCCCAGTGTAGAAGGAATTGCCAGGTCCCACCTGGCCTAGCCCAAAACAGAGCTGGGTTCCCCTCAGCAAGCCTGTTGCAATGGGGGAAAACTTTTGATCTTAGGGCACAGAAAAGGCCAGGAGTCTTGTGTTCCGGGACTCTCTGGTCTAGCCCCTATCTCCTCAGTCACCACAATAACTGGGAAGGGGCTGGCAAGAGACTCCAGGCTGGGCACTGGGAAAAGCGGTCCCGGAAGTGCCCTCCCCAGGCCCAGCAGCGGCGGGCATTCCGCCGCGTCGACACCCACTCACTGCCTGCTGCACTCGCAGTAGAGACAGGAAGAGGCAAGCGCCCAACGCAAAGCAGCCCAGGAGGCTGGGCCGCCGCCCCTTCCCGCCCCTTCTCTTCCTCCCCGCCGCAGCAGAGGAGCGGATGCCATTTTGAAACCTCCGGGGCTGTGCCCCTGAGGCCGGGCCCGCCGGGACATTCAACAGATGGGCCCATAATGGACATACACGCTGTTCCTCGGCCGATGGCCCAGCATAAAAAAACCGCTTTTCACAGCCTGGAGGCCCCCAGGCAGTTCTGGAACGGAGGGGCCACACCCCCACCACATATACTGTCCAGCCTACAATGCTGCTGCACGGCTGCCAGGGCATCCTCTCCCCCAACCCTAAGACCCTCAAATCAGCCTTCCACAGGGAACCACTCCTGCTCCCAGTGGGAGGCTGAACACAGACAACCACCAGGCCCTCTGTCTTTGCAAAAGGCCAGTTTGGATGCTCCAAGGCACACTGGCCTACCCCTAGCTGACCACCCCTGCCCCCAGCCCCTCATTCAGCTTGTCCACCACTCCCCCTTACAGGGCTCCTCCAACAGGCCCTCCCACTTTCCAAAGCCACATCCCAGGCAAAAGCTACCAGAAGCCCAGCACTCATCGGCAGATTCTGCCAGCCCGCAGGGGCAGCAATATGTCGGCCGTCTCACCACTTCCACTTCCCCCCATCCCTTCAGCAGCCACCATCTTCCCTGGCCTTGGAAGCAGCTACAGACCTCAACTCCTCCACATTCCCTCCTACTTCCCAGGCTCCCCACTCACCAGCAGGCCTTGGAAACTGGGGAGCATATTCCCAGAGAGTGGAACTTCCCAGAGATGCTTGAGGCCTGGCTGCTTCCCTGAGCATAACCAATGGAGCCTTAGTCCAACCCTTGTGGGTCTGCCTAACCTAGCCTGAGTGCTCTCCAGACCCTGGCTCCCATTCTCCCAGCACAGTCCACCTGCTCTCCTGAAGAATCTGAGGAAGCCCAGAATGTGGAAGAGGATTTAAGGGAGGGTTTGGTGGGGGGGGGGTGAAGCCTGCAGAGAGGGATCTAGTGAGCAGGGGGATCTGAAGGGATTCCAACTGGAAAGGGCTCAAGAGCAGTGTTTCCCAGTGTCACAGGTCCCAGTGTCAGCGTGCACAGGTGGAGGATATAGTAAGGAATAAGGAACAGAAGGGGAAGGAGGGAATGGGTAGGGGCCTGGCAGGGGCCCCAGGAGATGCTCATGCTCAATCCGAATAGGGAGAACAGGTGGAGAGAACAGGTGGAGCTTGAAAATGGGGAGCAGGTAAGGTTCTGTGGGTTTGGGTAAAGTCTAGGAATGGACGGAAGAACAAGGCAGGTTCTGTAAGGTGGGTTAGTAAGGGTTGATGGTCAAACAGTCTGGGAGGCTGATGGGGCACTGTTGCTTTTTGTCTGGGAATTTGGTTTCTGGGCTGAGTAAAGGGTTTGAACTAGAATCTAGACTAGGATGTGAGGTCTAAACCAATCGAGAGTTTCCCACTCTTATTTGGGGTCCTGGACAGACTGGGGCTAGAGGATTCAAGCCCAGGTGTGGGATTCCGACCTGGCCTGGGAGTTTGAAGTCTTTGTCACGGAGGTCAAAGTCCTTGTCTAGGGATTTGGGCCGGAAATCAGGAAGCCCAGAACCGGGCACGGGCTCACCTAACAGCAGCAACTTCACCTCCCGCGCCGCCTTCTCGCCGTCCTCCCGCAGGTTCTTGTCGATCATCTTGGAGCGTTCGGCTGCCGCCTTGTCCTCGGCGCTCACGGTGCAGCCCATCCTGCCGTCCGCCGGCCCGGCCCGGCCCCCACACGGCCCACGGCCCGGCTCGGCCCCGCCCGACCCACTGCGCTCCCGCCGCCGGCCCTCTGCGGGCAGCTCTCGGGTCCGCAGTTCCGAGCGACTACGGGTGGCGCCTTCCCGGCCACCCCGCACCGACGGCGGGGCGGGCCAGGGGTGGGGCCCAAGTGAGCCAAACCCAAGACTGGGCTGGGGCGTGTCTGGAGGCGGGGCCAAAGGAAATTCGGGGCTGGCGATTGGATCGAGGGTGGAGCGAAGAGGGGCAATTAGGCACCGCCCAAGCTCGGGCGCGGGCTGCAGGCGGGGCTGCGCCATTGAGCCACCGCGGGGATTCGGCTCTGGGCGGGCTGCAGGCGGAGCCGGACTCCGATTGGGTGCTGAATGCCTGGAGCTCCGCTTCGGGAGGGTGATCCCGTAGCCCGAGGGGGGGCACGGGCCGAACAGAACCAACCCTCTGAGCTTTTGCAAGTTGGGCGAGTAAGGCGGAGGAGGCGTGTCTTCATCACTTAGTGAAGTGATGAACAATAAACCTGTTTTGGAATCTACTGAATTCGGAGGCTTTCTGAACCGCGGTTTTCCTTAAAGCAGCTTTTCTTTCCTTTCTCCGGTTGCAGCAAGTCAAAAATAAAAAGTCCATTGCCACCTCTACCCCTTTGCCTCGACTGTCTCCCTCAGATGGGTGTCCAACGCTCATTCCTCCTTCCCTGAGGATGGGAAGGGTGCCGGGAAGCTTCTACTGCAGGTGGCCATCCTGGATTCCAGCCGGAGACCAGGCAGCCATGACCCTGGAAGAAGAGAGCTAGAGGGAGAAAAAAGGGAGGGAAGCAGGAGAGAAAGTTGCCACTTGATTTCTGGAAACAAGATCTCCATGTTCGTATGGCCTGTTCCTTCCCTTTCACGACCTGATCACCTCAGGTGGCCTCATTCTCATATCCCATCCTCCAGTAGCTTGTCGCACTGGACAGTGGCTACAATCCTACAGCTGGGCAAAGATGGAGTGGAGGCAGCAGTATTTCTAGTGAATGTTTCAAATCTTTCTGATCCTGCTCGCCAGGAGATGTCTAAAGTACCGACCTTAGTTGGACATTTGAAGAGTCTGCCAAGAATTATATTGAAAGGTATCCTCTGGCCCAAGTGCCATGAGCCCAGGAAGCCCAATCCCAAAGACAGAGAAGGTCCCAAAGCCAGACAGGGAGCTGGCCAGCAATGGTAGGTCACCCAACAGCCTTGTTTAGCACAGCTGCCCAATTTACTACCTAGGCAGACACCTGTTCCAACTTCCAGTCCTCAGGCTATGTGTTCTCTCTTGAGTGTCTGTGCATCCCCATCTGAATATCTCCCTTGTTGAAGCATCATTAGCCTGTAATCCTCCAATGGTTCCCTCAGGGCTCCTCCTGCCCTACCACGGGCATTCAATAAACAGTATGAAAACACATAATACCACCTACAGATGCAGCGATATGCTCTGTGCATCCTCCCATGCACCTAGCCTCTAAAATGTCCCGAATCCACAGAATGCACTGTAAATTTGGTTGCACACAGACAAGAACACACTACAAACCCTGCTCTAAGGCAGGCCCCTTCCCCCGCTGCCCCACCCTGTGCTTGCCTGAGAGCTTAGCTCCTCTGGCCTCCCCAGCCTGCTCCTAGCAACAGCCAACAGCTCTCTCTGTTGCCAGGCAACTGAGAGAACCTGTCAGCCCCTTGGAGGCCCGGCTCTAGGGAGGTGGGCAGGACACAGACCCCAATCTATGGATTTGGTGCAGGATGGGGCCACTAAGAGGCAAGACCTTCCCCAGCCCCAGGGCAGGTCCTAAGGTTCTTGCCATCTTCCCATTAGCCAGCCTCTCCTTTCTAACCCGATGCTCTTTCTAGGGAGTCATCAATCCCTGTTTCCAACACTTTGGCTGCTCCTTCTCATCTCCATGTGGGTTCCCAGTACTGTGGCCAGGCCTCTAATTGCCACTCTAGTCACACACCTCACATTCCAGGGGCTCAGAAGCCTCAGTTATCTCCCATCTGACTTCTCCCCTGAGAAGTCCCTGTTCTACTCTAAAGCTTCCACCAGACACCTCAGGCCCCTCAAACCCATGCTGCCCAGAACTGAGTACATCCCACCCCCACTGGTCTCTGCTCCAGGGCTCTCCACTACTTCGGGGCCCTCCTACCAGCCAGAGGGATGATCCTACTACTACAGCAATTCCCCTTCAAATAGGTCTCTGTCCCACTGTCTTCCATTCAAGGTCTCCATCCTCCTCAGATTTCGTTTTCCCTCCAATTCATCTTTCACATGGCAGCCAAGGGGATGCTGCTGAAAGAAATCACATCACTCTCTTGCCTTCAAACCTGTGGCTCCGCAGAGTCCTGAGGATAAAACCCACAATAGTGTAAACTCTGCAGGAGTTTGAGGCAGTATAACAGCTGTTGGTAGCAAGAACTCTGGAAGCAGTATGCAAACTTGCTGCCTGCGTTTCACTTTGGACAGGAAAATTATGCCCATTTTCTTATCAGCAAAATGGGTCTAACAGTTATACTTACCCAGCACACAGGTTGAGGTCAGGACTAAGGGAGGACACCTAACTAAAATGTTCAGAATGTGTGTAGCACATAGAAAGCCTTCATTGTGCGTGAATTTTTTTTTTTTTGTGATGATTTTTTTTAAGATAGGGTCTCAAAAACTATTTGCCCAGGCTGGCTTTGAACCTCCATCCTCCTGATCTCTACCTCCTGAGTAGCTAGGATTACAGGCATGGGCCACCAGTGCCTGGCTTGGGTGAATTATAGTGATTTCCACAAGACCCTATAGATAGAGGCTGTCCCTACCCAAAGGTCTACCTCATTTCTCTCCACTTGCAATACAATGGCATCTGACCATCTTATCCTATTACTCCAACTATCTAGCTAGCCTTGCTCTCTCCGTCCCTTTGCTCTTTTCCCTTGATTCCCCTATCTCATTACTGTCCCCCTCCCCCACTATCATCTTTTATTAAGACTATGAGCTGGGTCTCTTTGACTCCATTACAAAAGGTCTTTCCCTTTCCTAGCCAGATGTCACTGTCTTAGTGGTGAGTCTTCCCCAACCCAGATTCCTGATTTCCAGGCCCCTTGCAGGTAAATATTTGTCAAATTAAATGAATAAATTACCCAAACTCTACCCCACCCTACTGGAGTTCTCCTCATCTTGGAACACTATAAAATATTCACCATAGTTGTATGGGCAGAGGGGAAATTAATGTTGCTAGGAAGGTCGGGGACATTCTTGGTGGAAGTAATGTGTGGAGTGCTTAAGGGAAACGAACAGTAAGGAAAAACACTCCAGAAACAGGGAACAAGGCTGGTGTTGTGGCTCAAGTGGTAGAGCGCCTGCCTAGCAAATGTGAGGCCCTGAGTTCAAACCCCAGTGCCAATAAAACAAAATAAAACAAACAAACAAACAAAACACAGAAAGAGGGAACAGCACATAAAAACATAGGGAGGTAAGACTGAGAGGGAGGGTTTGGGGAATGGCTAGAGAGAAAATCAAAGGGCAGATCTGGCCAGAATAGGCCAGTTCCCATCCACAGTCATCCAGTGAAGGAAAGCGAAGCTGTCCTGGGTCCTTCAGACTGAGGAATCCAGGTGCATTTGAACAAAGATAATTTAGAGAAAACAGACGACCAGCCACGACACAGTAAGTGTCTAGCCAGGGTTCAGTGGGGGGGGGGGGGGGGGGGGGGGGGGGGGGGGGGGGGGGGGGGGGGGGGGGGGGGGGGGGGGGGGGGGGGGGGGGGGGGGGGGGGGGTGGGGGGGGGAGGGGGGGGGGGGGTGGGGGGGGGCGGGGGGGGGGGGGGGGGGGGGGGGGGGGGGGGGGGGGGGGGGGGGGGGGGGCGGGGGGGGGAGGGGGGGGTGGGGGGGGGGGGGGGGGGGGGGGGGGGGGGGGGGGGGAGGGGGAGGGGGGGGGGGGGGGGGGGGGGGGGGTGGGGGGGGGGGGGGGGGGGGGGGGGGGGGGGGGGGGGAGGGGGGGGGGGGGGGGGGGGGGGCGGGGGGGGGGGGGGGGGGGGGGGGGGGGGGGGGGGGGGGGGGGGGGGGGGGGGGGGGGAGGAGGGGGGGGGGGGGGGGCGGGGGGGGGGGGGGGGGGGGGGGGGGGGGGGGGGGGGAGGGGGGGGGGGGGGGGGGGGGGGGGGGGGGGGGGGGGGGGGGGGGGGGGGGGGGGGGGGGGGGGGGGGGAGCACCAGAGGAAACATGACTTGTGCCTGTGCCCACTGGGCCTCAGTACCACTTGGACCATAAAAAACAGTGAAATGACATCCAGCACAGCTGAGAGTGGCACCCCAGCTGGAATGGTAGAGTGGAACTACTTGTTCACCCTGATGGCCAGAACAGCCTTGGGGCTCACCACAGGCCACAGAGCAGATCCAACTTAAGTTTCCATTAGGCAACAGTCCTGAGCAGGGTAAGGAACAGAGACCCTTTCCATGGGCTGTGACACTCCAATCTACAGGCTCCAGGAAGGGGAAGCTGCTAGTACTTCCCCAAAGACAGTTTCAGGGTAGACATGTCTGCCCCCTTTCCCCAGAGTCCAGTAGCAGGAACCCCATACCACCCCAAACTCCATGGCTCTTGGGTGGCAGGTAGTTCTTGGCCCAGGACCTGCTAACTACCAAATCAGCACCTTGGAGGCAAGGCCCTAGCAACTTCTGCTTGAGGATCTAGTGGTCAGCGATCATGCCCTCCCCACTGCTTGAACCAGGCTCCGCCTCCTGGTGCATCCCCTGAACTTCCCCCTTCTTGCTTCTTGGTCCGGCAGCAGTTCTGAGATTGGAGTCCACTATCCTACCCTTACTTCCCACTCCTTGATAGGCCTTTCTTCCCCACAGAGCAACAGCCCAAATCCTGGGGATCCTGGACCCCAAGGTCCCTAATTCCTGGTTATTCATTCCCTTCACAGATAATTGGTCTTGGTCTAAAAATCTCAGGGCCCAGAACTCCTTGCCAAGAAGTTCCTGGATTAGGCAAGACCCTTCCTCCGCCATACACACAGTTGACCTATATGTGTGGGAGGTAGGGCACAGGGGGATTGGGGTGAAGTACCATCTGTTTATCTGCTGAAGCACTGGGAACCTATTGAGTACCAGTGGGCTGAGAACCCAGGGCAAGGGAGGCGGGT